GGGGGGGGGGGGGATAGGGTGCTGCTCGCGTCACTCCTTGCACGGTTGATAGAGAGAACAATCTTGATACTCCAGTCAACCGCGCGGAGTCCCACATCTTTTTTGTTGGTTCCGACAATGGTACGAAAAAAAGACGCTCATGATCTTCGTACAAACACTGTCAAGCACGCGTGACCTCCACAGATCCGGACGGAATTCGCTCCCAGCGCTCCGAACTATACAACGCATAACAGCGCACACGCGAAATACGTCCAAAAAAACTGCTCGAGTATATCGATTTGGTGCCTGGACACACCGTCTCGAAGCTCACGCTCATCATCCCACCTGCGCGCATGGTCACCGATAAGTCTAGTTCAGAAGCATAAATAAGGGGTACCCAGACAAGAGTAGTCACGCATGGTACGTAACCTCTCCCGTGTGTGCCACGTGTGCATTTGTTTTGGCAACAGGTGGGAGAGATCGGTTGCACGTACCCCGTTATCCAAAGCCAGCATCGAAATGTGTCGAACGCCTTCGTCTAGTATGAGGTCTGAGTGAATCTCATCCGAGACGATCGTGAGATCGTGCCGCTCACAAAAGTCCCCGACCCTCAAGAGCTCTTCCTCGGTGAAAACCCTCCCTGCCATTGCCACGACAACAACGCCCCACGCGAAGCAACAGGCGGTGCATCATCGTATCGGACATACTCGCGTAAGGCAACGCAATAAAACCAGGTTTGGGCGCGGGTACAGTAATAAGATGTCACCCGCTGGAGAGAACCGGGGATGCCCACGAAATGCTGTCGAGGTCCGGCTCCATAGTTGTCCTCGGCAGATCGGATGAACAAGCCCTGTGAACCGTGGTACTACGTCGATAGCCATGCATGCCCGGGTGCCGGGAAATTATCTGTTGTACCTCTGTGTGTTCGTGGTGACGCCAACATTTGGCGGCGAGTGGGTTTTGGAGGTGTGCGCATGCATCAAACATATGCTACAGTACCCGATGATGTAAGCAATTAACATGGCTGTTGTGTAGTGCGTGACTTGTCTGCAATGAAAAAAAATGCGATTTCTACAACAGGTCTCCTGGGGCCATCCATATCAAAGAAACCATTCTTGCTTGAGGGTAAAATAATGCACGGTGCATGAATAGCGTGCATATATGTGCAGCTGAAATGGGCTTCGCAGTGGCGGCGTGGGTGGTACAGCGTTGTTCTGGCAGCGTAAACGAGAGCGGCAGCCCTAGCAGCATCACCAGCAGTAGCATGAAACCGAAAGTCGTGTGCGCGTGCGTGTGAACGGCATGTCGCGCGAGCAGACACCATAGAGTTTGTCAGCTTCTTGAAGAATTCGACACTACTCTGTGCCATTGTTATGCCCCTGTCCGATGCAACGTGCCTCCATCTGCCGCGCGCGGTTTGTCACATGTCATGAGTCCACGGGACCACTACACTAGCAGCGGCAGCAAAGAAACAGCCACCCGATATACCCTTCCCACGAACCAGAAACCATAAAATCCGTAACTACCCCCCCAACCGCCAAGCCGATCACTGCGGTGCCCCATTTCGACGTATCTGGCTCACCGACGGGATTGTACGGGTTGCACAGCATCAGCAGCGCGGTTTCTGGGTGCTTCCTCATGGCCTCTTCCATCCCGTTCCAGTCTAGGGTCCACCGCCCCCCGGCTGTTGCAACCAAGAGGAACATCCAGAGGACAACACAAGGCAGCCACGGGAGCATCAACGGCACGCGAGGGGCAATAAGAAGGGGGCACGAACAACGCGAAATCTTCAAGAACGCACGGCACGCGTGCGAATTTCTTGTCGAGAAAGAAAAGGGGCAAGGCAACTCCTCAAGCACTTGCGCTCTTCCATCCGCATCTCCCATTACTCCCAGTCGATCTGATGTTGTCCAGCTGGCAGCCGAAGTTCCCCACTGACAACTACAGGGGTATGCGGCTGCTGCGCGTCTGAACAACAACCCAAACAGGTATGGAAAACCCGGTCATCGTATAACTCATATCTTCCGCACCGTGCCGGAAACATAGGTAACGACGACCCACCTCTGTCAGCAGGTACAAGAACGAGGCCTCGCCCGGTGTTCTTCGGCGACTTGAAAAAAGGAGGATAGCTGGGAGAGCGCGCGCGTGCGCACACGAGGGAATAATTCGGAATAGCGCGTGCGGTCGTTTAGAATACGCAGGAGTCAAGGACTGGGCCAGAAACGTATGAACGAGGCCACTTTGCTTCAAAAGTCACATCGTCATCTGCAGGCGAAGGCGGCCCGTCGAATCACAGCGTCGAGGACACCATTCCTGGCCGGTATCATCGACCCCTACAATTCCCTCGCTCGTTAGCTTAGCCGCAGCATGGGTGCACTCTCGTATTCTCTTCGACCAGGCAAAGCCGTGGACCACATATTGTTGCCCAACGAATGCAGAGTCTGTGACCTAGGGAGTTGTGGAAGTTGTCCCTCTTGCTCCTACTATCACCAGCGAAAACTCAAAACACCTTCATGAAACTCTCAAGAAACACCCTCTGACGAGAAGAACCAAACGTTACTTCCAGCGCGACTACGACACGAAACAACGACACGGGAAAGTTCGAGTTCCGGAAAGTTCGAGTTCCGGGAACAGGAACTTCGCAGCAGCTGCGGCAGTGACAAAATGCGTCAACGCGGCGTGCGTGCCATTAACACGAAACAGCAAGGAACAATTTCAAAGATGATGACATCTCTCCGAACTCAGGACATTCGTTTGAAGCGGTTGATGTATTCGTGATATTCTTACCCGTGGCTTCCTCTGCCTGTAGAGCGCTGGAGCAAACGATGATGGTGAGCGGTACTTCAGAACAGAACAACTCAGAGGGTCGCTTGGTGCTGCGCAGGGGCTCTTGTTTTTTTGTTTACCCGTGCGCGACCTGACACGCAAGAAGAACGCATCATCCTAGCCACAAGAGCCGTCTGTCAACCACGAATTTACCACGTACCACCGCCCATTAAAGGCAATCATTCTACATGAATTTGTCTCAAACTTCGACCCAGCATCGCCTCTCACCTAGGGGTCATAACCATGACACTCGCGGTTTCCGGGAGCATCTTACACGCGGCGTGCATGCTTTGGATAGTTCCAGGGGTGAAAAACAGCCAGCTCTTGTCGCCATCTACCCCATGCATGTCCTGTATTTCAGTCAACCGAGGCATGCACGACAAAAATGGGTTTCTTGAACGTCCTTGCAAATGCATGCACGTTCAAAAACACAACCAACACAACAGGAATAAAAACATCAGGCACGTTTGAGTTGTCATATTTCCATGACTCCACACGGTTCGGGATTGGTCGCCATGGACCCAAGGAGAGGGGCACAGTAGCTGCCCCTCAAAATCCGACCAAGAGAATTCAGATATCCCCATATTTAGTGGTCAGAACCGAATGATTTGCATGAGAGGAGTCTAACCGAATGCCCGACTCGCCTTGTAGTAGTTCATGACGGCCGTCTTGACTCCTTCCGTGGGAAAAGAGTACCCGAAGATGCCGTGGTCGGCGCGCTTCTTGACGGCGTCGATGATGGCCGGCGACGTTTTCAAGTCCATGTCGGCCACCCAGAGGGGGATCACGTCCCTGCCGCCGTAGACATCCAGTTTCAAAGACCCTGAGAGCACGGGTGTGTTAGCCTGTGGAGTCGCTATGAGAAAGAGGCTTTCTGCCGCGGCTGGTCGAATAGAGAAACGAACCGCCGTAACGGTAGGAGGCTGGGTGGTCAACAACGGTTGTCTGGCTACCACGCTACGACCAGCGGTGGCAAGCGCGGAACGTGTATAGCCCCGCCGGTCCCGCCATGATCATACTCTCACCGGTGTTGGAGCGATCGATAGGAGTTTCGAAATCGAAAGCAGTTTGTCTTTCTCGTCCAGGCCCTCCTATCGGGGGATTCGTTGCACTGCGGCCCATCTCTCCTGTGCTGCTCATGCGGCGTGCGGACGAACGCGACGATGACGGGGTTGCCGGGGACCTGATGCGCACACCGCTGCGCACTCGGAAGCCCACGACGTGCCTCGCGAGCAATGCGAGCGACGTCATCGTCAATGCAGCAGAACGGATGCGCATGACACGGAGGTTGTCGCCGGTCTCTCGCTCCCGGGCGCGTCCTTGCTTGTCCCAGGGAGGTGCGACTGCCCTGCAACAGCACAAGAGCAGATGCATGGGGTCAACTTACTGGGTGGGAGGCTTGGTATCTTGTGTAACCTACGGTATCAAGATGAAATCTCCGCTGTGTATACAGTAGTTGCCTCCCTTTCAAACCTCAAAGACTGGTGCGACCAAGTCGTCATTATCATATCATCAGGAGCTTTTCACAGAAGACTTGAGGACTTGCATACTTGGCATACTTGCACACCTGCGGGTGCACCGTCCCTCTCTTCATAGAGCGGCATTTCACAGCAGAAATTCCGCGCCATGATTCCCCAAAGCAGACCATCTCGAAGTGCCCAGTATGCATCACAAACGACATCTGCTCGCCTCACACACTGCTGCAACCCCTACGTTAACCCAGTCGGTTTGTCACCTCACCGTTGCTGGACCTATTCACTATCCACCTCAGAGAGAAGTGTGAGCTGAGCCTGCTTATATGTGTATCTATGTGTTGCGGGATGGGTGACATGGGATCTCGCCGCCCGCTAGGCCCCTATCTATTTCCCATCCGTCGAGCCCCTATCGAGACGAGACACGGGGTGCAAAAAGTCTCACCACAACGAACGGATAGTGCAGAAAGCAACAGCACAAGACCATCCCTCACCTAGTGCCGGGCTGGTGGATCGGACTCCGTGCAAGGTTAGACAAGATCCTGAAACACCACAAGACAACGAAAGTTCAGGGTGATGTCGGTCAGCCTCAAACAACCAGGATAAGAAAGTCGTGGACACCCACCTGCCTACCTGCCTCGTCGTCCTCCCGCTCATTTCGCTTGTTTGTGCCTCTGATCTTTTGTGACACACACACACGGGTATTTGCAACAGCGGATGGCCGACTGGGCAGCAGCGGCTGCGGCATGGGCTCAGTCGGGGGAAGGAGAGAAGACACAGTTCGTGCCTCCACCGCAGCCTCCGCCTCCAAAAGTTGAGCAGCAACAGCCCGGAGCATGGGGTGGCGCCGACCAGCAGCAATTGTGGATGCCGCCGCACCAGATGGACCATGCTGCTGTTGCATCCGCTCACCAAGGACATCAGCAGCACAGCTTTGGAAGTCTTCCAGGAGGCTCAGATCCAATGGCAGGGGGGGGTCACCAAGGGTTCGGACAAGAAGGTAAGAGAATTGTTGGGGGCGGGGTGCCGGTTTTCGTTCTGGTGCTGCACCATTTGGCTCCGGTTTAGCTGCATTTTTTTAGGTCCAAGGTGTGAAGTCTACATATATATTTCTGCTGACCGTGGCCTAATCTATAGTTCCGGATCGTGCGTGCATGGGTCCTTCCGTTGCCAACGAGGAAAGACGCTGAGGTGGGGTGGACTCCAACGCCATGTTTGCACGTATGTCTCACCCATTGCTTGACGCTGTGATCAATCTAGATGCCTAGAGTGCATCTAAGGTTGCTTAGGACACGACCCGCCCCAGAAGATATCCACCGACTTCAGAATACAAAGTAAATGTTGTGTTAGCCTCCGACTTTGTCCTACCTCTGTGTTGATGTTTAGATGCATGTTGCCCGCGTTCGTTCCCCGCATGCTTTCAACAACGGAACGTGGCTTTTGGTCTCCAAGGCTCTTGTGCTTCAAGTGACAACGAGGCTTGAACTCCGGCCGGACACTGCACTCAACAACAACAACCATGCCGTCCCCGGGCACCCTTTTGGGAATTGCTTCGCCCGTACTTCCTCCCCTGTGCGGTTTTTGTCGCCGTTTTTGTCGCCTCCTCAACACATGCCCAGGCGTATCGCACACGGCCCCCCCGCTGCCGCCGCCGCCTTCGATGCAGCCCCCGTTCCCTCCCGCTGCCTCGTCGAACGTAAATGAGCAGGGACAGTTTTTCCATGAACAAGGTGAGGTGCAGTAGTACTGGGTGTTTTTTTTTTTCGTTGCAATTCGTGCTTGTGTCAGAAAGCTCTACATGTGAGTTTGTGCCTGAAGCGTAGAGCTCTCGACGAGACGGTGCAATGTCGACACTACCTCTCTGTCACTCCTGTGTTTGTGCAGAGTATCCGAGCATGGCAAGTCGGTGCTGGGGTGTGTGGTGTCCTTTGCGACCTACGGTAACATTGCCAACGTTTCGATGTTATGCAATGATGATATCGTCAAATACCGCAGTTTTGATACAACACGCGAGGTCAAGCCGTTGTGGCCCTGGTGTCTCGTTGCGTGTTGACATTCATCGGCTGATTCGGTTTAGGCAACCAACCCGCTTAGGCTGTGGATCACGGTCCCATCCGGAATTGCAGCTTGTCGTGGCAAACCCTACGACATCCTGACATTGAAGTAAAGAGCTGCTGCGGCCGTCGTTGTTGGAAGGTGCCACACCCCGCCGTGGGTACCTGTCTTGGCCAGATGTTGACGGTCGTCCCTAATCCCGCATCAGCCGTTGAGACGAACACCCAGGAATAGATAGCACTATCTTTATTGAATGATTTATCTGCAGTGGAAATTCCGAGTGACCCACAACTTGTTGGTGCCAATGAAGTGGCCCCGAATAAAATATGTAGATCTATGTAGGGGGATAAAAGGATTTTTTTTACTGGAACGACTCGGCGTGCCGTCCGTCGGTGTGCCGTCGAAACGGATCCGTCCCTACTGCTCTCTAAACCGCAGCTCCTGTTGTTCATCCTTCGTGCTCCCATCGCCGTTCACTTCGGAAGGTTGGGCGGCGGCCGGAGGCTATACGGCACCCCCCCTCCCCCCGCCTCCCGGCCAACCGCCTGCGCCAGGGCCAGGGCCAGGAAGCATGAGCAGTCAGATGGGATCTCAAATGAACGGTGGCCAAGTGGCGGATCAAATGGGACACTACATGGGGGGGCAACCAGGCGGGCACATGGGAGGCATGGGCGGGCCAATGGCGCCAATGAGCGAGATGGGCGGAGGGCAGCAGCAACAACAGCAGCAGCAACAGCAGCACGCAATGGAAGCGTACCAAGGGTCGCCAGTTGGGAACGCTCTCCACCCGGCAGCGATGGCAAGCCCGATGACTGGCATGGGTGGGGGGATAGGCCACGGCAACATGGGTGGTAGTGCCGGCATGAACGGCTCCATGATGGGGGGGATGCAGGGAGGGATGGGGGGCGGCGGCGGTGGCGTTGCGTTCCTTGCCGGCCCTGCACCAGTACCGCAACGACCGGCGAAAAAGGTGCCCGACTGGTTGGTTCAGACTCTGAAAGAAAAGGAAAAGCTGGCAGAGAAGCAAAAAAAGAAGAAAGGCGCATCCCTGTCGACGGATGTGGCTGCAGCTCTGTCTAGCGGGGCCGGCAACATCAGCGGGTACAACCTCGTCCACTCCCCTTCCCCGTCGCCCCCTGACTCCCCGTCCGCCCGACGAACCAAACCGAGCTGGCAGGAAGACGACAGCGACGACGATTCCGCAGACGAAACGTCGTTCAAGAGGGAAAACCGAGACAAGAGGGCATCGAACGGGAGCGCCGCAGACGGCAGCGCAGGCGCTGGCACCCGCAACGACAGCGCCAAGCCGTCCGGCATCCTCAAGAAGGGCGGCACCAAGCAGCGGGGGGCAGAGGGCGGCCTGGACAGGAACGGGGACGACGCCACGGCAGAGGCGGACACGGCACCTTTGGTGATGGATGACGAGACCAGGGCGTCGTTCGACCGAGAGATTCGACGGCTGCTGACGCATCTGCTGAAGGTGGGGACGGCCAACATCATCCGCGAAGTGGCTTCCTCCGCGTTAGAGGAGGCTCAGGATTCCGCTGCCGCCGCCGCCGCCGCCTCGCCGGAGGCCCGGCAGCAGCTGCAGCAGCAGCAGCCAAGAGTCAGACGGAAGGAGCAGCGAGAGCAAAAGAAAGCCGTTGGGGCTCTCATCGGCGGGTACGGGTCCGAGTCTCCCTCCGAGAGCGAGGGCGACGCTTCCCCTCCGCCGCCTGCCGCCGCGCCCGCGCCGGCCACCACCGTTTCTACCGACGCCCGAGCGGCGGCGGCACCCCCTCCTGCTGTTGAAAAGAGGGCCCATGTTAAGGTCGGCGGGAAGTGGCCGCTCCCGTCGTGGGCGGACCCGCCTCACGAGGCGCCGCTTCCCGAAGGGCTGTCCATCGTCGTGGAAACGATAGGGCCCGATCTGGAACGGGTGAAAACACAGGAGCTGTCTTTCAGCACGACGGTGATGGGCAGGTTCGAGGAACAGTGCGGATTCGTCGTGGAGGACGCTTCTGCCTCTCGGTGCCACGCGGCGATCCTGTGAGTGTTCCTGTGTCGGGTTGGCTCTAGAGTTGGTTGAGCTTCGTTAAGGCGGTTGCTGCTGTGTCGCAGGGTAGGCGGTCGTCTTGGCGTTGTAATTTCACCGAGGGCGTTTTGAAATTCAACCGGAGTGATGATTTGGTATGTTCTTCGACAGCATCTGCGGCGTTCTTTCTCCGGCCTGTCCGAGAAAGGGCGTGTGGGTTGGACATTGGCAGGGACCAACCCGTCGCTAGGAGTTTCTCCCATCGCGCACACTTAACTCTTCACAATCTCCACAATCTGCTCGCCTGCTCGACCGGTCACACGGACCCCCCGGAAACGATTCAAATGTTTTAGTTTTATCTTTCCCCTCCGACATCAACTTCCCATGCCCATTGCTCCCGCTTCTCTCGCCCCTTCTCTCTCAGCGCCTCGGGAAAAGACGTTTTCGTGGTAGACATTTTTTCCGCCAACGGCACAGCCGTGAACGGTAAGAAAATTCAGCCGGGCGTCCTCCACGCTCTGTCTGCGGGTGGTGTGCTGACGCTGGGAACGCGCAACCAATCTTTCCGCGTGATAGTGCGGTCGACGCCGCCCCCCCGCCGCGAAGACCCACGATCGCCGACCGCCTCCGCGAACGTTACGTCGCCTTCGCCCGCGGGTGGATCGGCCCAACCGCCCAAGGTCTCCGACACCCCACCCAAGTTCAAGCAAGACCTGGTGGCCCTGGCGGCTACGATAGCCGCAAGAATCAACACGAAGTCGACCGCCGCCACTGCCACCGCTTCACCGGAGGCGGAAAAGGCCACAGAGAAGGAAAACAAGGGGGCCGCGGAGGAGAAAAGGAAGGAGAAGGCGACGGATGCGACCAACCGCGCTCGGCGCAGCAGGAGAAGCAGAAGCAGAAGTCGCGGGAGAAGCAGCAGCCGCAGGAGGAGGGGAAGCAGCAGCCGCAGGAGAAGCAGCAGCAGCAGCAGCAGCAGCAGCAGCAGCAGCAGCAGCAGCAGCAGCAGCGGAAAGAGCAGCAGCAGAAGCAGAAGCAGAAGCCAGAGCAGGCCTCGTGAGCGCGACGGACAGCACCGAGGCCACCGAAAGGGCAAAGATGACGGTCGTAGTGCTAGCAAGGAGAGGGACCAGAGGAGAGGGAAAGGGGGGAGAAGGAACGGTGCAAGCCGGTCCCGGTCCCGTTCGCGCTCTCCGCCATCGACAAAGAGACATGAAAAGGACAGCAGGGATAGCAGCCGCAGTGGCATGGGAGGAAGGAAGAGGAACAGGAGCGAGGCGAGTCTCGCAAGCCGCAGCCGCAGCCGTGAGAGGTACGTTTTTGGCGGGTGTATGCATGGAATTTGTGTTTCGTCGGTTTTCGTAGAGGCGGTCGAAATTGGTGGTAGCCTAATTGAGCGGCAATGCGAGTTGGGCGGTGCGGTTGCTCCATGTGCCACACCTCCCGATCACTTTGCATGATTTATGATTACCATGCATTTTGTCAGGGCAAGATCCATCAGGAAATCACGTCATGTGTTGTCGTGTAGCATTTGATCCCTGCGGAATGAAGATGCCTCCATGCACGGCTGAGTGTATGCCTCACTCCCCACCTATGTCGTCGGGCGTGACCTAACCCTGCAATCACGTGCAACACCCGTTCCTCTTGCTCGCGCTCATGGACCGCCACCGTAGGGGTTCGAAGAACCGAAGAAACGGGAAGAGGGAGAGCAGCAAAGAGCGGAGAGGCAGGAGAACCCGAAGCGTCAGTCGGAGCCGCGAGCGCAAGGACAATAAGGCCGCGAAGGATCGCGCCGGCGGTGGGAGTAGTCGGGAGAGGGCCAGGCGGAGAGAAAAAAACCGCAGCCGCTCACGCAGCCCGAGCAACAGCCGTGGAGGGCCTAGCGGAACGACAAGAAAAACCTCTGATCGTGGGCGGCGGGACGCAAAGAGAGCGGCAAGCAGAAGCAGGAGCAGGAGCCGAAGCCGCACCCGCAGAGACCCTTCCAAAGAACCTTCTACGCGGAGCAAGAAGTCGAGCGAGGGCGGCAGGGCCAAGAGTCAGGCAAACAGAAAAGGAGCTGCTGCGGAGGAGAAGGGGACGGAGGGTGGTCGTGGCGAAAGCCGCACCAGCAAGGAAGCAAGCTCGGCAGCCGCTGTTGGGAGCCGTGACGAAACGGTAGGCAAAGGCGCCAAGAGTACGCACTCCGAGCGAGCGAAGAGCACCAACGGCGAGGGTGCAAAAGACCGCACGAAGGAGTCTGGGAGTGGCAAAGACGGCACCAACCAAGGCAACAAGTCTGCAGAAGTGAGCCGAGATCGCGGTAGCGGCAGTCCTAGGGGGAGCAGCAAGTCCGGGACGAGCAAGAAAGCCGTCAAGAAAGCATCGGACACGAAGCCTGCGGCGAAAACCGGGTGGGATAGCAAGAAAACCACCAAGGGAAAGACAAGCGAGGATGACAAGGGAAGCCGTAGCAGCCTCGAACGCGAGAGCAGCAAGACGCGGGAGTCGGGTCGCCAACGCCGTAGTAGGAGCAGGTCGCCTTCCGGCAAACGCACAGAGCGCCGACGGAAGGCGAGGTCGCCGTCGCGCGAAGAAAAGAAAGGCGGCAGTGGAAAGAGCTCACGGAGGAAGTCGTGATGGTCTCCAGGCTTTGGTTTTATCGCTTGATTTCTGGTCGCATCATGTTGTCGTGACCCGTGAAGGGCGGCAGGCAACTCCTTGTCCTGGGAATCTTCCATCAGATTTTGTTAACTTGAGTTGAGCTGCGTAACGGTTGTGTACACTCTTAATTTGTGTAGAAGGAAAAGGAAAGGTGTCTGCGTGTTAGTTACTGGGTGGCGGCTCCATCCTAAAGTTGTACGCGGGTTAATTCATTTATTTTTACGAACAAGCTTTACTTTTGTTTTCGTGGCCGGGCGCCTGCTTGCGGGTGAACCCCGAGTTGGTACGAGAGGCCACCGGCAGACCCAAGCGTGTACCATCTTCATCCCCGTCCAACTCGTGTTTCGTACACTCATGCACATCGCACGAACACTGCGTTGAAAATATTTCGACAACTCGCCGGGTAGTAAAAGTACAGTTAGCGCCCGCAAATAAGAAACGCTTATTTCAGGGCTGTAAACTCAGCGGATGTGGTTCAATTTCGTATGTCAACTTTGTTATTTTCGTGCCGCCAAATCCTTCTGAATTTCTTCAATCGGCAATTCCTTATTTTCTCGGCTCACGAGAGCTGGCGGAGAGCACCACCATCAATACCGTATAGCAGACAACATATGGTTCCCAGCCTGTCTGGTGTGCTGATGCTGTCTGCTGTGCCAGAGCCGGAGCGCCAGAGAGCGCCAGAGCCAATGGTATATGAGCTATACACCATTGGCCAGAGCCGGCAGGGAGGCGGAGGGGTTGCCGCAAAAAAAAAACATAGTCTACACACACACACACACACCTCCGGTCGCCCCGGTGGTCTAGTGGGTAGCCTCGCAGCCTGCTAAGGGCCAGGTCATGGGTTCGAGTCCCGGCAGAGAGAGTTTTTTTCTCACTAAATAAATCCTGGTCTAGGATGAAAGCGACGCGCTGCAAAGCTCGTTTGTTAGTAAACCATAATCGACTTCGTAAGTCGCGAGGGAAGGGATTGCTTTACCCTTCTCGCGATAGAAATACCTCAGGCATGAACCGCAGGAGGGGGTCCAACCCCCCCCTCCTATGTGACCCCGGTTGGGTCGTCTAGCTAGTAGAAGTGGAGGATAGGGGCCAGAGGGGCAGACGACAGAGTCCAATTATGGGAGAAAAACAAAAAACAACAACAAACCTCGTCGTACAGCTAATAATGCACTTTAGAGGGGGAGCGGTAGTGGGGAGAGGGGGGAAAGCGCGAGGGATAAGCGCTACCTGCTGTAGGCAGCAAACATGCCTCTGCCAGGCCGTTGTGTGTGTCTCCTTCGCCCGGCGCCCTCCCCACCCTCATCAACTTCCCGCCTTTCCCCAGGCTCGCATACATGTTCTCGTACCCCTTCACTGATGTGTGGTGTATCTACCACCTGCGCAACACACAAATGCCCATGAAAATGTCTGCAGATTTTTGTGTGTTGGACAGAGGTTGTCCTTACTCTGTGCACCACACGTACAGCAGTTGTTCAGTTGTACTTCTGCCTCCGCAGGGAAAGATAGTTGAATGTCGAGCCAATTAATTCTCGTGGGGTCAAAAATAGAGCAAAAGCTCCCTGTGAGCGGATATTCACAGATATTTGCAAATAAGCTGGGGAGTAGAGTCCTCACCAAGTAATGTCTACTGCCGACCAGATGCACGAGGCCTCCAAGCATTAAGGGCAGCCCTCAAAGATGGATGCACACCCCCAACACAATTCTGCGGGGGCCCCGTGTCCCCCCCTCCTTACGGGAGTACGCCATCCAGGTCTACCCCTGCCTCGCTCTCTGACTGCTGACCAAGCACACATCACGGTTGGTCCCAGAGACAGCACGAACGAAACACACGCAAGTACCGAAAGAAAAACACACAGAGATATGGGCCGCTCACGACGTTCTGCTCCCGCACGCCGGCCGGCGCCACGAAGGTAAGACTAGAAAGCGGCGAAACGACTGCCCTCCGTAGCTGATGGAAGGGTCCCGACTGGGAAGGGGCAGACAAGACGAAAGCGACTCCGCCCCTCTTCTTGTTCCGACGGCCCTGACGATGTACCTCAACCCTCGCTCGGTGATAGGGAAGGTGTCAGCGTCTAGTATGGTTTTTTCTGGAGGGATGCGAATTATTTTCTTTGTACGATGCACACCAACTCTTATTTCGCGTTGATGGCCAGGTGAGCAATGTGCCGCCGTGCCGTTATACCCCGCAGTCAACTCGATGCCACCATCTGTAGATAATGCGCCATGGCCACGTCCGGGCTTCCCTTCAAAGCCCACCCTTGCATTCGCCTCGACAGGGTGATTGGTTGCTCCGGAGCTGGACAAGAAACTTCCCGCCTCTTTTCCCATGCAGTTGCATGTGTTGGACGTGCGCGTTGGACCTGTGCCCTCTCATTTTTGAAGAGAGGCATGATGTGTAAGCATCGATCTAGAAGGATTACACGCGTCCAGCAGGGTGGATAACCGCGAATTGAACCACATGGGCGGGGACGAGATTGACGACCTGCAACGGAATATTACGGCCCTCATGGACCGAATGGTAAGCTTGAACCTCATGGAATGGTACGCCTGGATGTGCAAGCTTTCCATGCGGTCCATGAGGGCCGTGATGCTCTGTTGCAGGTAGCCAATCTCGCCTCCAACCACGCTGTCCAATTTCGCGGTCGACCACATTTTGGACGCTCGTCAATTTCCCCCCTGTTCATGCGGTGTCGAGTTCGCAGTCGAACACCTTTTGAACGGACTGCCATAGCACATCACGACCCTCATGGAGTGAATGGTGTTCTAGGCTTGGGCTTGCCGTCCACCGTGCTGGTCAAACGTCCTGCGCAGGGCGAACCTCGCGGTTGGCCCGAGCTGTCAGCTGGGCTCTTCGCCAATAGGCCCCTCCCTGACTACAGTTCGTGTAGGAGTCCTCAAGTCTGTCTGGTGGTGGTCACAGAGCACCGAGTACACAACAACAGCATTGCAACACTCAATGCTCTCGCGGGTACTTCTTGTCGACGTGGATGTCACCCGTCACAGCAGGCTAAATCTTCTCTAGAGCTCTTGAATTCCATTCCTTGCAAGATGCTGTGCAACCGGCAAGAAATATACGATGAAGGCTGATGCACTGATGATTCCCAGTCCTATTGGCTTGAACCCATAATGACGTCATTTTTGCATATCCTACCGCGTATGCGTAGCCGTCCTTACAACACCTACGCGGATGAACTAAAATGACCAACCCAATATTCCAAATAGAGCAGTCGCCCGTGTAAGAAGTGGTAGTTCAAGTATGCCTGTCGATGCAGCATGGTAGCTAACGTCAGCAGCTACACGAAGCGGAGGAAGTAGACCTCCACAGCAGCCATCGTGTCTGCAAGACCAGCTTCTCTCCCATACATACCACAGCCCTCATCTTCGGCATGTGGTTGTGGGTCGCAAATGTAGAGACAAGTGCCGACGCACAGGGCAACCGAAAACCCTACTCTTACCCCCTACTTACAAGATGCAACCGCGCGATTCCATGCAACATGCTCTCCTTTCGTGACGTCACACGAGAGACGGTGGTAGCTGCTTGTATTCGCCGCTTCGGCGTGTGTTGTTTCGCTCTTTTCGTACAACACTAACATGTCATCCCGGCTCTCTGACATGCCTCCGTCCTCCCATGTTTCGCCTTCGTCGTTCCGTCATCCGCCCCCAATCTTCAAAAATCGGCTATGCGTTCTACGTGCGGTTTCTAAAATGTCGGTACACTCGCGTCTCTGCCGATGTAGTGCGCCGCCGGCTCGCGCCCCGCCTGCCCAGCCCCCGGCTCAGCAGCAGAGCGGAGGCGGCGGCATGCTCGCGGGAATGGCAAGCACCATGGCGCAGGGTTTCGCGTTCGGCACGGGATCATCGATCGCACACAGGTATGCGATGTCTTGTCTCTCACTTGTCCGCTCTATGATCGGCCAAAGCAGCAGTCAAAATGAATAACAAGCACACCTACGTTGGGTATGTTTCGCCCCGAGAAGGTTTTGGTGTCGACGGTTGGGGCAAATTCTCGTTGTCGGTATCTGTTTCATTGAAGGTTCCGAAGCCACCTAGCTAGGCGTGTCCCTGCCGCTCCGGTAGTGGTGGTCGGGGCCTAGAGCACAATCCTTTTGTGCTTGTTTCGTTGTTTCGGATTTGTTTTCGGGTCAAATCGCCGCGGACGACACACGACTGAAAATGGGTGGCTGTGTACACGTTGAAGGGTTCGTACAGGTATCAAGAGCGTATCGAACAGGGTGCGCACCAAGCTGCTAGCCATAGTGGCAGCAAAATCGTAATTTGGAAAGAGATGGATATCCCGTCCATGGTCTGGCCGCCAGTGAACAGAACGATATTGCCCAACAGCGGTAGTCGATGGCAGTTGCCGCCCCCGCCCGCCTCCCGTCCCCTTGATTTCCTGAACACTCTAATACCTGTGTTATTAAGTATTCACCGTTTCCCGGACTGAACAATGATGCGCTCTACTGGCATATGCAGGGCCGTTGGTTCGATAATGGGAGGTGGCGGCTCTTCGGCGCCCGTGGAGCAAGCTCAGGAGCCAGCGGTGAGTGTGTTGTGATACCATGCCCCTGTAGGTACCGAGTCTGCCCCCCGCCACCCCCATGTTATTTTCGGTCTGATCCAAGCTTTCTGTCGCCGCCGCCAACCTGACGGCAACATCCGCCCGTCGAGGTTTTGGTTGATGGAGAGTCCAGTATCACCTCGAGGCTGTCCGGCCTGTGTAGCCGGTGGTGCCCCCCCCGCCTCAATGCGGGAGTGTTGTGGATGAATCTCTAGGACTGCCTTGTCCTTACACGAGGTATTGGAATTGACGCAAAGAACAGCCCTCTGCAAACGACTCAGCTGCGTTGCTCTCAACGGGGTGAACGAGTTAGATCAGTAGGGCTGATGAATGTGACTCTGTGGTTGTGTCGTGGTTCCGCGCTGTTGCTGTTGTTTTCACAATTGTAAACCGCTCCAATCCCTGCACACAGTACGCGGTCGATTCCCGTGGTCACAGACTAACTTACTTTAACGATCTCAAATATGATGGACCCGCAAAACAAAAAAAATCAGAGACTGATATGATAGTCCGTTGGACCTGAAAAATAATACCAGGGCAATCAGCGCTCACGGGTCTCGGCGGTTGCCTGTTTCCCCAGATGCGCCGCACAAGTTATCACCCACGCTTGAAATTGTAGCCCTACACATTGGGTGGTTTTGCTCTGGCCCGGCCTGATTTATCGCCCTGCTTTGCATGTTGTTTGGTTTCACTGCACCTCCGTGAACCTTGTCGTGGGACTTGATGTGGTAACGAACACCCGCACGACCTCATCTCCTGTCTTTTTTTTTTCCTCCGGCGTGAACACAACAATGATTTAGCCGCAGGCTCACCACCAGCCGCCGGTTGACCCCTGCGACGTGGACAAGCAAAACTTCGGACAGTGCCTGCAGAACAACAACAATGACGTCACTGCGTGCCAGTTCGTCTTCGAGGCCCTGCAGACCTGCCAGATGGAGGCCAAGAAGAGCTACAACTAAATAAACGGGGTCAACTTTGGCGAGCGGGCACCACGAGACGGCTTGTTGTTTGTTTGGCTCGGGAGCGAACAATCGACCTGCACCAACCTTGCTGTTTTGATGCATTTTTGTCGCGGTGATTTGAGGATCCCCGCTTATACGTTTGTTCCGGGGGGGCGGGGGGTAGACGACAGTTGGACCTGTGGGCGGGAACGGCAAGAATGTGTTCTCCGGGTGCAGCGCACCCTTGAACTGGCCCTCTTGTTTTTCCCTGCAAGCAGAGGATAGATTTGGTAAGGGGCTCGTTCCTGGTTTGAAGGGTTTCCAGCACGTCTGGAGGCCATGCCTCGGTCGCTGGCCGTTGTTACGCATGGAGTTCCTTTTGTTACCCGTGGGATGTGAAACGGTTTGGATCTCACGCACCGATGTACTGTGGGTGCAGGGGTAGGCGCGATGGGCCCGAAATGTAAAATAACATTGTACCAAGGCGATATTTGAGTTGTAGGCACACGGGTGAGCTTTCCGTTCGGTTTTTCACACCCAACACCCGGACGAATGTCGCGTCGCTGTTGAATTGTCGCGGGCGCTTCCTCGTGACGTCATGATATACCTCCGGCGCCTATGCGGGGATAAGTCTTTGCGGACGCAGTTTGTCATGCGTTGCCCTCAAGGACAACTAAATTCGGTTCATGCGAAACAGGCGGGAGGGGGTAGTCTTGTCCGTTCCATCCCCCCTTTGGCCTCAAGGACAACAAAGTGCGGTTCAGGAGACACAGGCAAGGGGGGGTAGCCTAGTCCGTTCCATCCCCTTTTCCCTAAGGGGCAGTAGTGGACGTGAGCCCTCGTCCACTTGCATTGCTATGAGCCCACCTTCGGTCACCCCTCTGAAACCATTACAATCCATCTTCAATGTCACAGGATGCACTCGTGATGACACGCCGATAAGAAAAACATGAGAGACGGGCACCTTAACACCCTCTTCCATTCAGCAACAAAAAACAAACGAGGGACACAACACCTAGGCGTCGCATGTACAGGGCTTTGTTTTATAAACCGAGATTGCCTCCACTCTCGCAAGGCAGTCGGTCAAACACACAGCACGAGCCCCAAAAGAGACGGGCGATGAGTCCCCCCTGCTTGTGAAGGCAAATCTACCACACGATGCTGCTGCCGTCAAACGCGTAGAACCCCCCGGACAAGTCCTCGGTCATGGAATCCACGATTCCCAGCACTTGAGACACGGTGTAGTCGGGTGTGAATAGCTTCTCAGGCTTGACATTCGCCTGGAACGGCTCCGACAGTCCAGTGTCGGTTGTCCCAGGATGGTAGCTAAAGGCCCACACCCGGCGGCGCCTGAGCTCGATGGAGATGCCCTTGGTTGCCATGTTCAACGCAGCCTGATTCGAGGGATGCACACAACGCATAAACGACAAACGCGACAGAAACGTATGGCAAGGCTTCGTGGAGTGAGAAAGCGGGCGCCGGGGAGTCAGAGGGTAGTTGGGTCAGCTGTTGAGCATGCCCAGGGCATGCGGTGCTGACATCTGCGTATCAACGGGATGGCGTTCGGCTTCAACTTCTGAGCTTTCTTTCTCTCTCGCTGAAACGAGAAAACCCAACCCACCCTCTTTCCATCGTTCGCCTGCACCCCCCCCCCAACTTGACACTTCCGGGGGTCTGGAGCTTCAAGACCAACGCCCAGTCTGCATGCAGTCCCACACCTTCGACATGCGATAGCTGTGCCAGCCTCCCAACCCGTTGTCACCAATCGATCCGACCCGAGCGCTGAAATTGACCACGACAGACGGAGGTCTTGCGCCGGCGTCCCCCTTCTTCGCCGGGCTTTCCAAGAGAGGCGTCAACGCTGACACCAGCATCATGGGGCCTATGGTGTTGACCTCCAGGGTATGTCGCAGCCAATCGCGGTCCATCACGCGCACGGATCGCTCCGGACCTGGAGTGTCCTTGCCGTCCCCTAGCACGCCCGCAACGTTGAACAAAAGGTCTACGCGCTGCAGAGGGGATAGGGGAGGGTGGCAGTGTGGCTGTAAGGGGAAGCGCACTCCCCTCTATCGAGGGTTACGGAGGACTCTCGTGCTATGAAGACTTCCCACTGTCGTTGGCCTCGTGCGGCTCCGCACGAGGCGTGTTCCTCGGGGGAGGCAGGCGTCTGACCTCAAACCAACCTATTCAAAGGCGCTTTACGCTCAGAAGGCCAACCAACACACAGCGGCTAACCTGGCAGAAAACAGAAAAAAAAGTGACAAACGTAGCGTTTACCCACCCCGTATGTGCTCCTAACATGCTCTGCGGCGGTCTCCAGGGAGGTCTGGTCTTCGACATCCATCTTGACCACGTCTAGCCTGTTTTCGTTTCCAGCTATCCTGCCGAGGGCGTGCAGGTCTGCCGCGGAAGAGGGGTCTCTGCATGCCGCAACCACGGTACCTGTTCAGCAGCGCGCGACAAAAGAAAACGACAGGAGTTACCTACGCAACACAAAACCATCATGTGGGAAAGAATGCCACAGGCTTTTTCTCTCCTTGTTAAGAAACGCTGCCCTGGATACCTATGCAAAACAACGTTCACGTGGGAAGGTATGCCATAGGCTTTTTCTCTCCTCGTAAAAAAACGCTGCCCCCAACGCTGAGTTCCAAGCTTCGCTTTCCTTCAGTCACCAGCCGTCTTCTTTCGTGCACGCGTCGCATCAACACTTCCATGTTGGTCTTCGTATGGTAACACGCATTTTGCCCACTGCGATACAGTAGTCTCGCTCACCCTTGGCCCTTTCCAGCAGCTGCCTTGTCACCTCCAGCCCTATTCCCCTGTTGGCCCCGGTCACAAACGCCACCGACCCGGGGTCGGCATTGCGTCTAGCGGCAGCCTCCGTCGTCACGAACTTTACCACTCCACCAGAAGGTTCTCCTGCCGCAGCCGTCGCCATCGCCGGATTGCTGCCGGTAGACATGCCCTTTCGGGAAACGCAGCGGTTTAGATGCCCAGCAGATGATATATCTGGCCGCGTGTTGGCGTGGTATCTCGGAACAGGAGTAGCGAAACGTTGGCACCACGGTAGCAGCGGTGAGAGTTCACGGCTACAAGTACGGTGGTTGGCCCAGCCGGCAGTTGTCAAGGTCCTCGGTAACCCTCCTTCAGCCGCTGAAAAGGGGAACCCTGGGTGTGTGAAAGGAAGTCCGGGTTGTTACAAGGACGGGAATGTGCAGCATCAGTACCAGTCAAGTGTCACCAGAGTCAGTGGCAGTAGCGAGCCTCTAACAGCGCTTAGCCGAAAATTGCCCCGCCTTCAAAGCCTCGAACCATGCTCTACTGTGCTGTCTATCTGAGCATAGAACGGAATATGATACACCTCGTATCAGTAGCCTAGACGGCTACTGCTGCTGGGGGCAACCGGTATTTCCTGTGTTGCAACAGCAGTGGATGCAATGCGGGTCCTCTGTATTCCCACATGCCTGCAACATGTTCCCATAGCGTCCAGCCCGCGAAAAACGCACCTTGAGCAACAATGGTCGCACGCCATGAACTACCGGATGTTCTGCTAACGAAGCCCAACAACGCGGAGAAGACCATCGCTGCCGTCACGCAGACAGCGTCTGACTTTCGCTGCGCGCTTCTGCCCGAACAGAGTCAGATCGTCAGATCGTCAGATTGTCTGCTCCGATGTCCTGGACCGACCGAGTCAGATCCACTTCTTTGGGGTCCCCCCGCGGTTGCGGCTCTTGCTGCCAAAGTGATTGCTAACGCCGGTGAGGTCGTGCCCGGCTATTCTTCACTCCTACAGTAGACCCTGCCCCACCCTCCAGAAGACGCTGAAGGCGCGCTCCGCCTACGAACAATGTCCTACAACGGTACTTGTACACTGTACACAAAGCGCAACAGGTTCTGGGCGCCGTATCATGCATCGGTTCGGGCTCTTGTGTACTGCTATGCTGTAGTTATGCCGCATGCTGCATCTTCAAGTTTTTCACTTTTCGCACACATCGTGGTAGCAAGCACCGGGAGCATGTGATCACGCTGGGGTAGACATTATGAAAATCGTTAATCTTGTTTATGTAGGCTGGGTGTGTGTTCAAAGTACATACATGTATATCGATAAATGAAATACGAAACATCGATCACCCTGCGTCCTCCTCTGGTACGAATACTCATGTTGATTCATCGGCATACCCTATGTAGATACGACGGGGGTGTGCCGTGTGGGCGGCAAAGGAATTAGACACAACACGAAAAACCACTTTGATCTTCAATATTTTCTTGCTCTGCAGCCAAGAGACTAACGAGGGCGATAAGGGGGGGGGTTGGAAACAAACTTATTGTTCGTGGGTCTACGGACATGGTTTGGATACATTAGCCATACGTACAAGTGTGACGCAGATGGTGTAGAACCTTTTAGGTAGGGGTACGGTGATGATGCACCGGGACCCCCTTTGTTGAGTGCAGCAGCCGCGCTGCCACTCTCTCTTTCTCCTCCTGCTTTCCGAGCACGACAGCGTCCTGGGTACGGGCGTTGTCTCACCGTCTGAAGTTAATACACTACACAAACAAGTCCCGATAAGTACGCGGAGTACGGCCGACAAACACTCTAGAGTTGATTGTCCCTCGAGGGATAGCCGCATCGGGTCATGTCTGCGTCGGACAGCGGTTCCGTCGCAGGGCTGGGGGAAGAGACCTCAGCCACGCAACAGCAACACGCCGAGGATCCGGCGATTGCGAGGCTGGAGGGCCAGTTATCGCAACTGATGAGCGTAGTGATGGAGTTGAAGAGGAAGGAGCCTGGTGACGCCGTGGCGGGCGATGCCAGTAGGGGCAGCGGTGCTGCCGTCCCAAGCCAGAGAGAGGCTCTGCCGCCTGGGGGCGGCGGGGCATTTTCCCGGGAAACGGCCCGTGATGGGCGAAATCACCCGCGGGAAAGCAGCTGGGACAACATACCGGGAGCGAGTCCTGGGGT